TTAGTAGTCAAACTCTTCAGGGTGTCATGGTAGTCGACCTTGTTTTGCGCCATCAGCTCTCCCGCCTGGATACCAACATTAGCACAACAAGCCAGAAAGCAAGGTGTTTAGCCTCCTGCTGCAACCTGAAGTTGTACGTCTGGAAAAAAAGGTACTCCGTCTGCTTTGGGCTAAGGGGAGCGCGTATCCCAGCTTCTGTGCTCAAGCACGCTGTGCATCACCACGTCGTAGCAGACGCATACTGCACAGAGTTCTGAAGTACTCAGCACTTCGCTCATGCCTGGAATAAATCAGCGACAGCAGCAAGCTCACCAATGTGCCGGCACGCAGTGAGACGACTTGCAAGCGGTTGAAGAAGGACGTCATACAATAAAGAGCAGCCGCCCCCTCCGCGCTGGAAAGATCTGCCTTTTCGAAGAACTTGCTGAAAGCCTACAAAACAAAGAAAGTCAAAAGCACGACAATATGGAGTTGAGCAACTCTCATGAAGGCATATACCTAGACCGAAAAAACAAACAACCAACACAAGTGAAGTATAAAGTGCACTAGGGGGGTTGGGTAGCTAGTAGCTAACTTCCAAGCTCGTTGATGTGAATTTCTGAAGAAACTTCATCTCCTTCTGGAGGGTCTCTGGTGTGTAGTCATCTTCCTCCAGATCCATCAAGCACGTGCCCTGGAGAGGGGCGTACGCCAAGCAGTACAAATCCTGAACAGAGAGCAGTGAACGCTCCACAGCGAATCATTCTCCCAGATGTAGAAGAAGATGCATGAGAAGATACAAAGCAACGGCAGTAAAAGGAACTAACGAACGCGATGCTACGAGATAGAAACAACGGCAGCACAGCACCAAGGAGGCACTGCAAAATTAGCCAGAGACGCTGGCATTACAGGGAGCAGAATGAAGCGCAGAAATATGAATTAGTAAAACGGATGTAAGTCCGATTAAGATAAAGGGAATTGTAGTGAACTGAGACGGCGTCTACGCCAGCGCACCTTGAGAGACATCGTGAAGAGGATTTCAAAACCAAANGTAGTGAACTGAGACGGCGTCTACGCCAGCGCACCTTGAGAGACATCGTGAAGAGGATTTCAAAACCAAAGAAGAACCTCTGACAACGTTGGTTGAATTCTCGTAATAGCAAACGAAGAGGAGTTGTAGGAGGGCAACTAGTGCTCGAATAACTTTCAGTTCTAACTCGCGCGAAACCACCTTCAGTTCAACTGTGTAGGCAGATATCTCTGCCTCGGGTAGGAGAGGAAGCCCTTCAAAGGAGGACGGAATGAGAGAAGACCCCTATACGTCCCCAGGTCCTTTCCAAGCGTAACTGATCTATAACAAACCACACAAATCGTCTGAGCACCCTTATGTGGGGGCCTGCTATACAAAGAGCCTTTGGGGCATCCCTTGGCTCCCGGTTGTGCTGAGGGGCTCAGATGCGGGGTCGAGAGGCCACACGGTTGTAAGTCACAAGGCCTCCTCAAATGTCAGGAGGATATTTTGATAGTATGAATACTTCGTAAGCTGTCGCCCGATTCGTTTCGCTTCGCTCAGGCGCTTCCTATCCCGTTCGGGCTGGCCTGTTGCGGTCAGTAGAACTCTTCCGCCCTTCGCGGTCAATTTGAGTATTCACGGTGCTATTTGCTCCTACACATGCGGACAAGCCAAGAAATTAATAGTTAAATAGAAGAATTTGCAGCGCCAATGACTGTGGAGGCGGCGAGAGAACAAAGTTCATCCCATCTCTAGCCAGTTGGCCGCTGGCGTCAGGCTTCGCAGCTGTTAACTTCAGCTGCTTCCCACGGATCTGAGGGGGAAATGTTACTAAAATGAAGGAACAAGCGCCGACAGTTCTGGAAGAAAACGAAGGGATCATTCAGCCAGCACAAAGGGGCCTCCTGCCGGCCCATCGAGCCCTCACACCGGCTGCTCTTCAGAACTCGATCGTCACTGTTGGGGCTGGACGAGAATAAAACGCCTGCGAAGTAGCCCCGTATACGTTCAATTACTGTGCATGCATTTACAAATTGAAAGGATTCACTTTCCATACAACTAACAACTCTCTCCAGCTCTTACGGTGTAGATAGTAAACTTTACCACGGGCGCCAGTGTTACCAGCTGCATGTGCTGCTGCGCCTTCGGCAAGCCACTCGTCTATCGCGCTGTATACTGACAAATTGCATTACTAAGTTAATATATGCTTCATTGACAACAATACCATCGGAATATTTCTNTGTATACTGACAAATTGCATTACTAAGTTAATATATGCTTCATTGACAACAATACCATCGGAATATTTCTTTCTCTTCTCCTCAGAAACCACGAACATCCCCTCTGGCCCGCAATTTTATATGCTTTGGCACGGTATGACATATTCATAGTCTACCTAGTGTTGATACAAGTATTTCTTCTCTTTGAACACAGGCCGACTACTGACAGCTAAAGAGGTGTTTAATGTTGTGTAGAGTGTTAGCTCACGCAGCGAACGGGGGCTCCGTTCAGCTTCGTGCGGGGCAGCCTTGCAGCGCTTGTTGAAGCAATGGAGCGTGGTCTGCCTGCAGTTAGTACAGGAGCATTCACTTAACCTTTGTAGGTTGCATACGAGCAAGTGCAAACGCTCTATACGTGTATACATAGGTAAAGTATGCAATAAAGGAAGCTTCAGCAGAGCTTCCCTGTGTTCTCACGTGAGGTTGGCTTGCATCACCAGCTACAGCGAGGCGCACTGCAAATCCAGTTAGGCTGCCTCCTCCCCCTCAACTCTTGGCCCTGGGGTGATGCCCAGGATTACTGGAGATAGGGAAGAAGCTCAGCTACTTTGGGGTGAACTCTTACCTGAGGTTTCTGCCTTCATTCTAGCTCGCTTCTGTCCTTGAATAAGAAGGGAGAGCCCCCGTTACAAGCAATCTTGCACTTCATGAGAGGACACTTCTTCTGCTCACCAGCGTCTGGCCGTAGGGCTGGTGCTCCCTTGACGGCTGGGGACTGGAGTGAGGGTTGGCTCCCTGTTGGGAACTCATAACGAATGTCTCTGACTCTATTCTAGTTCGCGACCATCCTCAGCTACAGCCGAAGATTCTTTGTTAGACTTGGTAGCACGGCACTTTTCAGAAGGGCAAGTACGAGCAAGGAAACCCCATCCCCACACCGGGGCATGTTGGTGAATTACACTGATCAGTCGTGAAGGCGCCTTGTGTAGTGCGGCTTGTGTGGAGATGGTTGTTGTATCCAACTCGCGTGCAGGGTAGCCAACGAGGGCCAAGTAAGTGCTCGAAAATCGTTGTTAGTGCATGCAGCAATGGGGCTTGGGTACCACTGCATGTGGAGCTCTGCTCCAGCAGGGTGCATTGCAAGTCGTGCCACTTTGCCTCCTCTCACCATGCCCCAGGCCCTTGCACCGCCGGGCCCAGGCCGAGGCTCCCTGGTGACTCGAGAGAAACTCAGAAAACTCCGATCTGAAGTATTTCGACTTTATTTAAGCCCTTATCTGCTCTTGGGTAAAAGCGAGGATTCATCACGTTATATTTTGAGAGAAAGAAAATGGAAAAACGCTGGTATTCTTCCTGAATTATGTTTTAAAATTTCCACACTTTCTTCCTCTTAAATATAGCTCTGCTCTCCGGCTCGGAGGTGAACTGCAGTTGGGCGCTCCATCACAGTAGAAATATCATAGTGTTCGGAGCCAATTCAGTCGAAAATATCTTTGCTGCCAAAAGAGTGCATGGAGAATGCCACCCCGTGTTCCAACCGTCCAGGCTGACTGCGCCCCGATGCGGTAACAGTGAAGTAGTTGTTTGCTTCTCTAAGGTTGTGCCTGCATCTTGTGAAGGAAGAAAACGAGTTTGGAAATGGTCCACGTGAATGATACTATGGATACTGTGGTTTGCAATGCC